AAAAAATTAGCTTAATGATGCAGGTTAGTGTTAAAAATCTTATCGAAGGACAAGACTTTATGCATTCAAATAACTGTCACGGCAGGTCGTAGGGATTTATGAGTGTGTAGTCCTGAGGGAGAGCAGATAACAACAAGGATAAAGTCATAAATGAATCTTGTCTGTGAAGTAGCCAGCAGACTGACAGTGCCAGATTAAACCCTGTGCCTTTTAAACAAATTGGGTGCTTAAAGGAGCATATTGCCTGTGTGCTGGAACATGTTTTATTGTTCAGCCACATTAGAGCTGAGACAAAGAGGAACGTCACACGACGGCACGTCACAGGTCCTGACGAGCCCAGATAATTGGTTCCTCAATTGATTGCCTTGAAAGCGGCGAGCTGTTTAACTCTGAGAGCCATAGGGGAGGTGGATGGTTAAGGGCAACTTGAACCTTTGTACATTAGTGTCTGTTTTGAATTTAATTCAATTACCTATTTGTTCTACATCTAACACCCACAACAAATGTCAACATAAAAAATCATTTATTTTCCTTTGGCATAGTCCCTTATTTTTCAGGGATAGCCACAGCGGAATGAACCGTCAACTATTCCGGCATATTTTTAATGCAGCGGATGTCCTTTAAGCCGCAACCCAGTGCACCCATACACTGTCACATTCACACACGCACTCTTACTCTAAGGCCAATTTAGTACCGAGCTTATTTACATTAGCTTACATTAGCAACCGGGGGTGGCACGGTGGCTCAGTGTTTAGCACTGTCACCTCACAGCAAGAAGGTCACTTGTTCAAGCCCCAGTTGGGCCAGTTGGCGTTTCTGTGTAGAGTTTGCATGTTCTCATAGTTTACATGGTTTTCCCGACAGTCTAAAGACATACGCTATAGGTTACTTACATAAGCTAAGTTGGCGGTTTATTTTGCTGTGGTGACCCTTGATAAATAAAGGGACTAAGCTAAAGGAAAATGAATGAATTTGCTATTGTATGATTGTAACTGAATTCCCCTTTTAATACTGGATAAGTCTGAATGATAATCTTAACTTCCTAAGTTCAGATCAAGATGAGATAAACCATACAGTTTGAGAACCACACTACTGTTAATATTTCCTTATATTCCTTACTGTTAATAAGTTTTATCTGTATAAGATACTGGTCTTAGTGTAACCTGCATTAATTTAATTAATTTGTCTCAAACTCTCAAACTATTCCTAGAGGGCCACAGCTCTGCAGAGCTTAGCTTCAGCCAGCTCAAATTCACACCTGTTTAATATTTTGTAATATTACCCCGCTAAACCTTAATCACACTCGGGTCACGGCACCAATATGATCCCTCTTCTTCAACACCCATCTACTCACTCTGAGTCACCTGCTTGGAATGTTATTCAATACAATTCATCTCTATTTCTATAGCTCTTTTACAATGTAGATTGTCTCAAAGCAGCTTCAAATAGAAGATAGTAAATTGAAACACTAGTTCAGTTTTCAGAGTTTAAGTTCAGTTCAGTTTAGCTCAGATCAGTGTGGTTTAATTTTTACTACTGAGAGTCCAAACACTGAAGAGCAAATCCATCGGTGCACAGCTCTACAGGTCCTGAACCATGCAAGCCAGAGGTGCCAATGGCTGGAGAAGCTGGATATCAGCGAGACTCGTCTGTCCCTGGAGCGTCACAGGAATCAGTCTCATGCTCTCCCCTCCTCCATGACCACCACAGCAGCTGCTCAGGATACGGCCTGGTCCAGGATTATAGAAGCTTGAAATCATCTTGTTGCAGGTCTTGGATCGCATCGGTGGCACTAAATTGTCTCGTTATGAACATCTTCAGGTGGAAATAGAGAATAAAGAGAATAATTAGCGTAGCTGATGTTTATAGTGCATGCAAACTAGTGTATAAAATGTATGCTTTACTAAAAAAATAGGTCTTTAATCTAGTTTTGAACTGCAAATGTATCTGAGCCTCGGACATTATCAGGAAGGCTATTCCAGAGTTTAGGAGCCATAAATGAAAAGGCTCAACCCCCTTTACTTGACTTTGCTGTTCTGGTTACTGCCAGAAGCCCTGAGTTTTAAGATTTTATAGAGCGGGTTGGACTGTAGCGAGACAGAAGGTTGGTTAGATAAACAGGAGCTAGATTATTTAAAGCTTTATAGCATGTTATCACTTGATTGAATGGCCACTATCAGTGGTTATTAGCGGATATATATGGGCCAGTAGGGGCCTTCTGGATCATCCAACCACATGGTTAATCAGCTATACTAATAGAGAAGACTTTAGATCCAGATCTGTTTTTACATTACTGTGACGGTTGGGTTTAAGGTTGCAGAAGGGGTAGACTTTAATAAAAAAAAAATTAATGGGAAATTTTATAAATAATAATAAGGCCCCTACTGGCCCATATCTATCAGCTGATAACCACTGATAGCACCAATTCAATTGAGTGATAACATTCAAATTGGCTGTCTGAGTAGGGTTCGAAACAACGATTCTGGCATAGGAAATGGGTGCTCTGGTGATCAGAGGAGTGAGGTTTGTTTAATTATGGCTGGAGCAAAACTGTGCAGAGGTCCTACAGTAATCGAGTTTGAGACCTATAATTTAAATAATCTGTATGCAGCTCTTTTCATGCCATAACTGTTTGTATTGTTTAGTGATGAAAACAAAAAAAGACAACACCAACATTCCCACTCTGAGTGGGACAAGAGAGGCACACACTCTAAAAGGCAGCTAAAAAACGTGGCTAAAGCACCTCTCATGATCAGGGAAGGGAGGTTTACCCACACACCACTTAATAGCCGGCCTCCGTTACACTCAGCCCCCTAAACCTCACGGCACCAATATGATCCCGCCAGTCCAACACCCATCCACTCACTCTGAGTAGGGCTCGAACCAGCAATTCTGGCATAGGAGGCAGGTGGTCTCGTAATCAGGGATGCCCACACACCACTAAACATCTGGCCTCTATTACATCAAGGACATTTAATGTCATCTCACCAATATTTTTAGTTTTCGTAGAGGCTTAACACTGTTGATTCAACTATATTTTTTGTTGAATGACAAGAACTGCATTCAAAAATAAATAAATATACTTCTAATAACTGCAGTGCAGGGGTGGCGTGGCGCACAATGGGTAGCAATGTTGCTTCACAGCAAGAAGGTCACTGGTTCGAGCCCCAGCTGGGTCAGTTGGGATTTCTGTGTGAAGTCTGCATGTTCTCCCCGTGTTCGCGTAGGTTTCCTCCTGGTGCTCTGGTTTCCCCCAGAGTCCAAAGACATGCGGTATAGGTGAATTGGGTAAATTGGTTGAAATATATGTGATTGAATGTGTATGGATGTTTCCCAGTGATTGGTTGCAGCTGGAAGGGCATCTGCTGTGTAAAACATTTGCTGGATAAGTTGGCGGTTCATTCCGTTGTGGCGACCCCTGATTAATAAAGGGACTAAGCCGAAAAGACAATTAATGAATGAATAACTGCAGTGCTTTATGACAAGTGAAATAACTTTGAAAAAAGATTCACCACAAGCACAGTTTTGCTGATTTCTGACTGTTCAGGCCATTATATGTTTGACAAAATCGTTGACATCCCCTTTAATATGTAAGGAAGCCAAGAGTCATATCTCTACAGGAAAGGGTTGAATGGAGGCATTACGAACGTGTCCTTGATACATTTATTTTTCTGCTTATGGTGAATCACAGCCGTAGTATCAACAATTACAGGAGATAAAGAAGAGGAAATGACAGAGATGTTCAAGGAGCTGCTGGGCTTGAGCACAAATGGCTGATTATAACCGTCATCTGTTGTGAGGTCTGAATGAGGACACTAAGTGCTGGTTTAAGCCCTTCCGTAAGCTGTTTAATACAGAAATAAGTATTTTAAAAGAAGCTGCAAAGACAAATGTTTCTTAGAAATCTTGGTTGGGTGCAATGAAAGTGAAACAACCCTGGGAGATGCAAAACAAGCTATCCTGCAGGGCGGCAGGAAGTGCTGCTCATTGTGAGTGCTGCTTTGATTAACTGTGCAAATGCAAAGACCTTCATGATTTACTACCAATCGACCTGTAATGATCATTCACACGATTGATTACCGATGAATGCATTGGTCAGACAAGTCATGAAATAAATTGTAGCTACCTAAAGGAAAGTGTAATGTGCACGTTTAGTGAGCTTATAATAACGCCAATAGCAATAATGCTTTTGAAACTAGTTTCAATTGATTTTGTTGGAACCTAAATATTATTTTAGGTAAATACATATATAGAAATATTTAAGGCATCTCAGTGAACAGCCAAGACACTCAACCTTTGAGTATAGACCTTTGAGTTCTCATCATTTACAATTTTAACATGTGTCTGTACATACACTTAAACAATAAACCAAAGCAATCAGAGTCCAGAAGATAATGTATATATATATATCAAATATATAAAATAAATATATATATATTTTTTAGGTATTACTAATATATATATATATATATATATATATATATATATATATATATTGTAGTCTTACCTGTCCATACATTGAACTTAAAAATATGCTGTTGATGCTGTCGTTGGTAATGAGGAATGTAATTTTCTTTTTATCTGTTAAAATAGTATCAATTAATACAGTATAGTATGAGACATTAAATAATGGTTAGCACAAAAGTAATCTAAATGTAATCCAAACGTAGTCCGATTATGTTATATAAATGTGTAATCTAAGAGATTAATTTAATGACTAAACATTGTTTTATGTGATTTGCAATTAGTTACTGCTTGCAATTCCTAGGCAGTCTACCCAGATCTGTATATGTTAAATCAGATTCAGATTATACTACGTTTAGTGTAAACATGGCATTGGTTAATGCAACTGAGTAATAATAAAGCCTCAAAATGTGTATTTCTAGTATTAAGCTCATCGTCTGAGCAACAGATATAAAATGAACTCAAGTGACTGTAAAGAACGTTTGTCTCTCTGTCCGAGGTTCTGAAACCAGATCACGTGACGCCACTGCCTCATTCAGCAGTGAGCGCGCGCGCACTGGTTTATAGAGATTTTCACGTGAGAACGCGACAAACCATCACTCGCATACACTGTAGCCTAATTCTCTCCGCTCACTGCGTCACAGAAGAGCTTACGGGAGGCATTTTTGTACCTTTTTCCACCGCTTGAACGCGTTCGACAACATTACGATGGTAGACTTTGGCATTCTTCGTTTTTCTCTGCGCTTCTTTCCTACTTCATGCCAAGGCGGTGATTGCAGTGGATGGGCAGAACGTGCCAGGCTTCGTTTCTAATCCAAAAAGTGCCCGTCTACTCGGGGATCTCGCGCTAAGAAGATGTAAGGACCAAAACAAGCCTTCACCCTGCAAAACTATCATCTTTCTTCACAAAAATGCAGAAGGGAATTCGGCTGAATGATGGTCATGTCACCTACCTGGGTCTTTTGGCGAAGAAGGATGGCACGAGGCGAGGCTGCTTAAGCAAAAAGAGCTCCGACAACACAAAATGGCACACCAAGTGGTTTGCTCTGTTGCAAAATATGCTTTTTTATTTTGAGAGCGAGTCCAGCTCGCGACCCTCGGGATTATACCTGTTGGAGGGATGTGTGTGTGACAGGTCGCCCTCACCCAAACCTTCACTGTCAGCCAAGGAGTGCTTAGAAAAACAGGTATGAAACAAACGGAACGACAACTTCTGTGCTTACTTCTTCTAGACCTTTAAAATAGAGTTACTTTTCTGGGAAAGGGGAGTAAACTGAGATGCCTGTTTCCATCTAGCAGGGACTGGGGGTTTGTTTTATGCGTAAAGATGATGAGCATGCGCTCGACACAGCCGACAATTTCACCACCAGGCAGCTTCTGCTGCTCAGAAATTTTTGCTCTTTGTGTTTTTTTAGTTGTTTAACTAAGGGTTATCTGTCATCTCTACATTTGTATTTGGAAGTGATCATCTTTTAAGTGAGATGACATTACAGTGTTTAAAGCGAATGCGTTACATAATACACGTTTGTTTATTGATCGGTACTCTGTGGTTACATAAATTATGAATGCGTTACAAATGTTTGTGTTAAGGTCTGGTTCATCCAAACATTCAAAAACCTGTCATCATTACTCGCTCTCGTCTTGTTTCAAACCTCTTTGAGTTTCTTTCATCGGCGAAACTCAAAACTAGTCACAATTCACTTTTAATTGACGGAAAACGTTACAATGAAAGCGAAAGGTGAACATTATGCCCATTATTATTCACAGACGATAAAACAACATGAAAGTGATGAAATGGCTGGATCGTTTCACATTGTATAGAGGTTTATGCTGTAAAACTCAACCGTCAGCATCACGATAAGGCTAGACAACACTTTACCGATATATGTGCCTTTCATCTTTTGACATCCGTTTTGCTTTCCAGGAAAATGGATCTAATTCTTTTTAGCGTTTCTACTCTGAGACGGTCAAGTTTCGACTGTTCCGCTCTCTCCTTCACACAGGAGAGAAAATGACGCTAGAGAAGCACTTTATAAACCTCAGAGTCGCCATCATGCGGAAAACTGGCGTAGAATCGCAGTCTGTTTGACGTATTGATTTAATTCCCGCGCTGATATTAATAGCATCCTACCTTGGCAACTGCGTCTCGCAACGTGTTTAATAACAAATCGCTCTCAAAGCTGAACTTAATGTTCACAAAACACTGTTTGGGCGTCTGGAAAGGTGTTGTGCAGCATTCAATGTTTCTTTGTTCGTTTTACTGTGACAAAGATGCTGCTGATTGAGCTAAACCTAGTGACTACTAGTGAAACTAAAGCATATTTATGAGGATGTTATGCCATTTTTTTAGTTTAGAGTTATTATATCAATATTTTAATAATTAATTTAAAATAAATAGAAATAAAAGGAAGAGGTATAAAGAAATAGCTGCTATATGCAGCAATAAAACACGCTGACCTACCTTAAAGATGCACTTCATATTTTTTATATGAACAAACATGTTAAAATAAACAAATTAATGTTACTTGACAAATATCATTAAAATCTGTGTGAACCTAAGTTACTGCAGACTTTTATTTCTATTTGAAGGCATGTTTCAAAGTGAAATGAATGAGTTGTAGGCATGTTTTTTTTATTTTAGATTTATTTTTGGTTTATATTAACTTGCATGGATTAGTTGTGTATCTTGAGACTAACAACGTGTGCTAGAAAAATAAACTTTATAAATTTTGATTTGATTTGTTTACATCAATAGTCGCCAATCTTGTGAACAGGCACTCTGAACTGACAAAAAGTTAAAATGTTTAATCAATTCGTTATTTTTATGTATTTTTATTTTTTTTCCCACACAAACGTTTTCTTGTAACTTCATAACAGTACAGTTGTTTTTAGGTGAACAATTCAGGTTACCTTAAGATTACATGACTGGAAGTGTCATGAAATTCCATTTGTTTTGGATTAAATTGATTAAAAAAAAACATTAGCCAGCTAAGAGATGAATCACAATTTATCTATTTTTTATTGAATCAAGAAAGCATTTATATTAAATAGATAAGACAAAGACTGCATTCTTTAGTTTTATCAGGGGGAAATCTAAATCACATAAAGCATTGTGAATTATAACCAAATTTAAAATAAATTGACAACATAAACATCTTGATTGGATGTTTGTTTATATAAAACAATTGTGTGCTTTACATTCACTGCAAAATTTGCCACTCAACTACAGTATGTTGTACTTACAAAATAATTTAAAAGGTAGATTTCCTTAATAATACAGTAACTCCTGTGTTTAACATTATAAAAACAACAAAAGAAAATACAATTGGTTAATAACCCTATATCTCACAGTAGGGTTGTTTTCAAGGTAAATATATTTTCTATTTTAATAAAAAAAAAAAATGTGTTTTAGAGTTACAGATCCCAACTAAATTCTGTAATACCAATGATAGTATCAATAATAATAATAATAATAATAATAATAATAATAATAATAATGATAATAATAATAATAAATTAAAAATTATAACTATAATTATAATAAAAATAGAATAATTAATCATCAATGTAATTTAGAAATTAATTTGCAGAATTAAATTTTAAACATAATTCCATAGCATGCATTAGCATGTGCATGGTCAAGCAGGCAGTCCAAAAATAATAGAAGTAGAAAAATAAAATGTCCACTCAAGCTGTTTAGGCTGAAGTGAGGACTTACAGCTGTACAGCATGAGGACAAACAGCAGGACTTAAAGTGGTGACCATGGCCACCACAGTAAATGCCACAGACACAGACGCATTGCACTGAACATGCTGCAAACATCAGCACAAACCCCCCCAAAAGACTTGATTGATAGAGACCTGCAAAAAAAAATGAATAACATGAAGGAGCAAAATCAGCAAGAACCTATACAGTAGACATCAGTATAAGAACCAGTGAAATGTAAACAAACCGTATTGAGAGCACACCTTTAATATTCATACCCGGATGCGACAGCCATTAAATCCATGTAACCATATGGCAATCTAGAGCATTCGCTGTAGTTACATTAGTAGAACTGGCTGTGGAAAATAGCTGCATTCCTTCTATTTGTTTTATAAGCACAACAAAGCTGAAGATGTTTTACCTTGGTGAAACCTGTCTTCAGCCTGCAGTGCTTATCTCTGTGGAGGACCGCAATTCAACGTGAGTCTAGGTTCTTTCTGTGAACAGCTGTCCTTGTGCTGACGAAGCAGGATGCAGCATGGAGTTTGATGCTGTGCATGTCTGGCATCTTCTGAAGAACAGAGCGCAGTTAAAGCCACATTACCTCGCAATCAACGATTCAGTGTTAGACAGAGTCACGCACGCATCACCTTTTATATTCAGGCGTGCACAGTATAACCTCATTCTGAGTCATTTATTTGCATAAATAAGTGTAAGCTGGCAAGCTCTGCATTTTCACTCAGAATGCATTAATGTATGATAAATGTCATATTGCGAATACTTACCTTGAGCAGGGGTGCTTTTCCCAAACAACGTGGCTGAACTATCATGGTACAATGCATGGTTTGGGAAAAGAACAATGTAGTGATGAGTGTTTCCCAAAACCGTAGTTTCTCTGTCGCAGATCCATCATTTGAACCACGTTAGTTATAACGTAAAACATCCATAATGACACTCTAAATGGGGCGGAGTAACTACCTCTTTAAAAAATAAAACCCCATAATTTGTTGTGCAAATTATAGTGTTTTGAACGAACCCTCATTAAAAAAAAATCCAATATAAGTTTTGGTAAAAACATGCCCTTGTTTTTCAAATTAATTGAACTATATGTAAACAGCACATATAGAGGGCCTATGTTTTCCTTACAAATATTATTGAGAATATTCCATATTCAATTCAAAACATAAAACATAAAACATATAAATCATATAAATCGTTAATTGTTGTAATTTACAGTAGGCTATTTATTAAGTAATAAAGAAATATCCTACTTAATAATAATAATAATAATAATAATATATTTCATTATTAATATTAAGTAGGATCTTCTTTTGTTTTTTTTTTTTTTTTTGTTTTTACCATATAACCTTCCCCATGTGCTCCTTTGTTCCGGTTCCCGCCATTTGTTATTGTTTATTATTTCCACCGGTGTCTCACCCCTCTATGTAATCAGTTTAATCATCTCCTGTGTGTTTAAGTCCCTGTGTTTAGTTAGTTCCTTGTCTGCTATTCTAAGTTGTGTCTTGTCATCAGCCCCTTGTTTTTCTTGTGTCTTCTGCATTATCAATGTCCTTTCAAGTGAGTGTTTGTAGATAAATCTACGTGTTTTAATAAATCCTGCAATCCTTTTTGCCTTCCTGAGTGAGTCAAGGCGTTACAACTGGGAAGGGCATGCAATTGTCAATATGAAGATTGCTAAAACAAATGTGAAAATACTTTGAAAGCAAATCACACCTATGAGAGATTACCCTAATGTTTTTTTTATATTATTATTATTATTATTATTTAAATCATTCCAAGTTTAAATGTTAGAATGTTCTAAATGAATAGGGCATATGGGGGATAACTGGGAATAGAACAAAACCAGGAACTATGCTTTCTAACTACAGCTCTAGAAGTGTAGTTGCAATGGTACAAGTTTGCGAGTATTCGTTAGAACGATGGATTTATGAAACACCAAATCAACAAATTATGTTTGTAACAATGCAACTTGCGACCTAAGTTGGCTAACGATGGTTTTTAGAAACGCACCCCGGAGCAGCCAGTGTCCAGCTAAAAACAGTAACTGTGTTTTTACAGATATAGTTCTAAAAATCATCAAAAATAGCAGATTTCACACCACAATTAAAAGGATGGTGGCATAGAGGGAGAATTTTGAGGGAATCCTTTCTAAAAAAAAAAAAAAAAAAAGTAGAGAAAAAAATCCTAGTTGCAAAAAAACATTGACAGCCAACCAGAATCTAATCTTCTTTAAAGGCACAATATGTAACATTATTTCATTAAATTATTTGAATACCATAGCTGTTTCTCAATTTCAAGAATGCAGAGAATGGACTTGCCTTCTTGTGATGTACTATCTTGCCAGGTCACCTCGGAAGACTTAACTTGGGAGACCACGAGAACAGAGAGAACTGTGAGAAATGAGATGCTGCATTCTCCCTGATGGTCACATGACCTTTACTCATTTTTAACGGAAAATAA